CGAGTCCTTGAAATAACCGTCTTCAATTTCCATGTCTGCCAAATTCCCCTGCTGAGTCCTCTCGCGAACGCACATGTAGAATCATAAACGCTCGTGTGGGAATTCCCGTTTTCCCACTGTTTACAGTTGTAAAACGGATATTTCCGTTTTGTACCTGTAAAGCGAACTGTTCTGTTAGGCGCACTGCTTTCCAGAGAAGTTTCTCTGAGCCACGTCACAAAAGGACACGCTCGAGATTCAGTTGTTCAACTAAAATCTCGAGTCAATCTCGAGCACCCCTCGAGACACACGCACACCCCTCAGGTGCGCAATCATACACGAACAATCATGAAAACGCATGAATGCAACCTCACACTAAAATGCAAATAACTCAAGAACCGTTAAGGCGAATCGCAAGCCGTAAACGCCAAAATAAACAGCACACAAATCCACATTCCACACAACGCAAATTACCTTAAATCCAATACCTTCAAAATTCACCTTGCTCGATGAATAGGCGACAGGTTGACGTGCAAATAATATTTTGCACCCAACAAACTCCCCCTCAACCTGACGGCTATTCAGCTCCATCACTAAGCTTCTCACTGTCGACCGGCTCCGCTACATTGCTGATCCCAATTCCAGTTTTAGGGAAGGCTGTCTTATCCTTCCCCACACTTTCAGCTCCCATGTCATCCGCTGCTTGCAGCTTCACAGAGGTAATACCGTTACCACCCAAGGTAATGTCCGCTTCCTCCAAGCTCCGCTCCACCTCAGGTTCCCCCTTCACCTGAGTCCCATCATCTGCAATACTGGCCACATTCAGCTCCATTATCGTCTCCTTCACAGCTGCATCCTTCAGCTGCACCGAGACCTCACATTTTTGCTGCTCACGAGTGTCAAACTTGTGAACTCCCTTCCCCTTACCCACAGCAGCAGCAATAACCTTGCTCCCCCTGGCTTCTGCACCCTTCTCCTCATCATCACCGGAAGCATTCCGCTTTTCAGCCGCTGCAAGTCGAACATTCAGCAACTTCAACTGCTGCACCAGCATCTCCACTGTTGATTTCAGCTCCTTGATCATTTCAGCAGCTACTGCAGCACATTCTCCCTTGCAGTCGCAGCTCCTCTTCTCCTTCTCAGGTGCCACCTCACTCCATGGTACCACCGGCACATGCCACAGCTCATCATGAAGATCCTTGCCCTCATGCAGGTCCCACAGCACACGATCACCGAGCTGCCCCTTGAAGGTTTCAGCTCCATTGGTTGTTGTACACACGCCTGCAAGCCCCATCTTCCTAAGGGAAATAAAATTCCCCTTCAGCTCTGGCACTAAAAGCACATCTTCAAAAATCGTCGGCTTGCCATCAGCAACCTTGAAAGCTGCCTTGCCGACCCCCAAAACTTTCATCTTGTGGCCGCATCCGGAATTCATTTCAGTGATGCTCGTTGCACCAATCTTCTCTAGCAGGTCCGCCCTCCGGGTCATATGATGTGCTGCTCCGGAGTCTAGGATCCATGTGTTGAGGGGACGAGGCTCTGCTCCCTCTTTGGCAGATGCCTTCTCATCTCCCCTACTCCCTTGCACGTGGAAGAACTGTCCGGGAGCGCGTTCCCAACCCTGTTCCCCTTCATCTGCGATCTCTGCTACATAACCAACATGTTGCTGGTTCTTCTCGCCATCCTCATGCCCGGGACTCCACCACTTCGGCCGCTTCCAGCACTTCACCCAAGTATGTCCTGGCTTTTTGCAATACCAGCAAGTGCCTTTGAATTCACGGTAGCCACCCTCATCATCCTCGTTATGAGCATCTTCTAGATGCAAGGCGCAATGCCGCCTTAAATGCGCAAATTACCTTAAATCCAATACCTTCAAAATTCACCTTGCTCAACGAATAGGCGACAGGTTGGCGCCGCTGGACGTCTCTATCAACAAGTCGTTCAAGGCCTCCGTCCGCCAGCAGTACCAGAAGTGGTTTGAAGACGAAGGCCAAGAGCGACTGACAGCAGCAGGTAAGCTTACATAGAAGAACTACAGTCGTTCCTTGACATGCTCTCGTGAACCGTTTATTAAAACTGACGAGAGTGATGTGTCTCTGCCTGTTGGTGCAGGGAACCTCAAGAAGCCGCCTCCTGCGGTGGTAGTGAAGTGGATCTCGCGGGCATGGAAGGCAGTGCCCGCGGACCTCATCAAGCGCGCCTTCCTCACCTGTGGCATCAGCAACGCTCTTGACGGCAGCGAGGACTCGCTTGCCATGGCGCACAGGCGAAGCCAGCTGACTCGTGAAGTCGATGTCGATGACGACATCATCGCTGACGGCTTCTTTGGCAACAACTGCCAGGAGCCCGAGTCTGACGAGGAGGAGTAGGTAGCTAGGCTATAGTCCGACTTGAGTAGCTGGTTCAACCTGAGTAGGCTGTTGTGTATGAACCTTGAAATTGATAGGGTGAAACAACTCTTGTTAGGAATTGTTTAAAAAATGTAATGTTCTGTGAAATTAGAATGATAAGTAGATAACAGACTTTGCACATGCGCTTATAATAAGTTCAGACCTGAAAAGGGGTGCGCTTCTAATCGAGGATCCTCTATAAGCGCCATGCTCCAGATAGAAGCGCCGGCGCCTTTAATCGGACGGCGCTTATATCCGGGGCCATACGGGTATGAGGGTAGATTTTCTGGAAGGCCTGGACGTTGACCTTCGTCATTCTTTTCTACTTCTCCGAAAATTTGTGCACCTCGCAAGCATCGATCCCCCGACCTTCCGCACAATAATGTGAATAGGAGTCTTTTTGGACAAATTTAGGATCTTTTGCGTTTTGGTTACTTTTCGGACATTTTAAAGCCCTGCAATTTTTTGTGTAAGACTTTGGACACAATGCGGACCACCTAGCTAGCCGACTCCATTTCAGACCGAAACTTTTTGGTGGAGTCCTCAGGGAGGTCTGACATGGAAAAACGATTTTGCCCCATGCCTGTCTATTCCACCTCGTGTCAAGCAGCCTGGCCCGAAGTTTGACACGGGCCAAGAACGCACCCTCATTGAATTGGTGCCTGATACTTGTGTGACCAGCGTCGAAATGTATATGAGTTTTGCTAAGGCAGAAGGAGCTTGTGGGGAGGAGCAAGCAGGTGGTGGTGTTTTTTAATTCAATAACACCGCGATATTGCACGGTGAAATACGTTACGCAACGGTATGGAAAATCGGGACCACGTTTTACCAGCACAAATCTCCAGAATCTCAGAAAGGTGCAGCATGTACAATGGGGCATGGAAGAGTCGGGAACCCAAAATGGGGCTACATTGTAATTGCGCGATGCAGAATTTTCGCCAGGTGTCGCCAACTTTGTAGCGAAGGAACGGGTGAACAGCCTGGAAACCGCGTGGCTGATTCTCATTTACTTCCCTGAAATTTATCGGTATCGTTCTGTTGCCGCATGAGCAGTTCGGGCCTTCCGCACAAGCACTGCGGGATGGGTTTTCCTCGAAGGGGTCAACCCTCCCGCGGCCTCGGCGAAGTTTGCTGATAACGACAAAACGGGTTTGCCAACAGCCCATGTTTTTTTCCGGTCACCATGCCCAGTCTGCCCAGGATGCTCAAAATGTTTCATCCCAGCCACTCACAAATTTTCGGCCTTTGGGTTCGCCCTTGCCTCTCGTTTGGTATGTTTTTGTGGTGAGTTATTTCATCGCACAATCTCCCAAAATCGGGCGTTCAGCTCTGCCCGTTTTTTTTTTTGCGTCCCCTTATTCTATCTCGGATGGGCGGATAGGGTTCGCACGAGCGGTGCCTCCAATTTGTCCGTGACAGAAGCTTCGAAGTAATGTCCGAACGCACTAGCTGTGATGCGTTCTTTACCCTTGGGCGCACAAGAAAAGCGACATGGCTCGGTACACAATAACGAGTTGGGAGGCACGACGTGAGCTTTAAGCCTTTCTCAGCGCATTCCTAGAATATTCGTCAGGGGAGCCAAGCACCCCTAATGCGGCAACAGAACGATACCATCGTCTGATCGCGCGGCTCAGAACGCAATCGACAGATTGCCTCAGATCGGGGCGATCCCACCCAATCCGGTCTGACCCCGACCCGAGCGACGATCTGAGGCGATCGATCACCCGATCTGCACCGCGTTCTTATTTCCCTCCCAAAACCACCTACCCATAAGGTGATTTGTGAAATGGCATGCCTACTTTCCCGGCTGTATCCACCGGCGTCACGATTCCACTGTAGTGCAGTGCGGTTCAAGGGGGTAGGACATGGCAAACCCCAGCAGCGGTGGTCGGTGCTGTGTGGTGTGTGGCGCACTTCGAAGCCAAGTTCTTGCAGATGCGGCAAAAAAACGAAAGGAGAGACAGCGAACGCCGATGCAGGGTCAGCCACAGACAGTGCCGTGCGGTGCGGTGTCCAACGGTTTTCAGTTCCTATCCTGTAGTACCTTGTAGTACGGCGTCGTCCAATGACAGCGACCTTGTCGACACGAGAGCTTTTTAGTAACAGAATAGTATTATGGGCGGGACTCTTGGTCTTAGTAGTAACAAATTAAGTACACTGCCGCTAATTAATATGGTTCCTTTTAGGTCTGGTAACCCGTCGCTCCCGCTCTTAGTACTCCTCCCCCTCCTCATCGCGTCTCCTCCCCACTCGCCTTGCTCAGCCACCCGCGCCGCTGCCATCGGCGCGCAATTACCACCTGCCTCAGTTCCGCCCGTGACCAGAAACCGCGACTCGAACAGCACCAGCGTCTACACTCCGCTGCCCCGCGCATGGCACCCGCCGTTGATCGTCCCCTTTACCCATGAAGCAGTGCAGTCGCCGCGTCAGCGCCACGTGTTCGGGCGGAAGTCGGGGCGGCCCGTAGAAGCGGCGGAAGTTTTTCCCCAGCCTGCGGATGCAGGGGGCCCGGAGTCAGCCGCGCGCGGCCGCTCCCTGGCGGCTTCCGCCGCCCCCAGCGGCGCCGGTGCGGGCGAGTGCGACGCGGAATGGATGCTGCTGTGGCCGGCGCAGGGGTGCTGACGGCCGCGCATGACAACGGCGCGAGGCGGAACATCTGTGCGCGTGGCTTCCACCGCCCCCTCCTCCGCGCACCGCCAAGCCACCGCGCAAAGCTTAACTTCCGCAGGCGCAGTGGTCGCGCAGGCTTCCGCGCCTCCCCCCCCTCCCGACGACCGGCCAGACGACGGGGATGGGGCGAGCACTCCGCCCGCGGGGAACGAGGCGCGGCTGACACCTGATAATGAGATCATTGGCGTGTGTCGATCCGGAGGTGAGATATCCGCGATATAGAGTTGCGTTTACGAGTCGACTCAAAGGAATGATCATATTTTGGTCGACTCAAAAAGTGGCTGACACCCGATAATGAGGTCATTGGCGTGTGTAGATCTGGAGGTGGGATATCCGCGATATAGAGTTCTGCAAGAACAGGAAAGGGGGGAATATTCTTTCTGGATCAGTACTGGGTGCGCGGGGGGGGGGGGGGGGGGGGGGGGGGGGGGGAGGAGCGGGCAAGAGGGGGAACAATGGGAGACAAGGGGGGAACATTTGGGGCAACGGGGATACTGGGGGGGTCATGGGGGCATAACATTTAGAGGAGCGCATACATATCAATCAGGTGTCGCGCGGCTGCGACCTCCTGATGCGATCATAAGCGCGTGCAGATCTGGGAGGGAGATATCCGCGTTATAGAGTCGGTGGGTGGGAGGATGAGCGGGAGTGAAGGTTGAATCTGTTGGGCCCATGCAGGTAACAGCCCATGCAGGTAACAGCCAATGCAGGTAACAGCCAATGCAGGTAACAGCCAATGCAGGTAACAGCCAGTGCTGTACTCGTTGTAGCCATGCCCGTCGCTGTGAGTGTAGAGCATCTTACTCATGCCCTCGCTGTACCTTGACTCCTGCACTCCCCCGCTCAACTCACCCCATGCCCCCATCCCCATGTCCCCATGTCCTCATGTCCTCATGTCCCCATGTCCCCATGTCCACATGTCCGCATGTCCCCACGTCCCGCGTTTGGCTCCTGTTTCTCACCCATTCAGCATAATCCTCTCGTCTCTCCTCGCCTCACCTCTCGTCTCCTCACTGCCCTTCACCAGCACCATTGCCCTGCACAGACGTGACGTGTGTCTGGCCCAGCGTCGTCTCTCCTTCCGTATATTTCCCTTACCAGCTCTTTCCCATTTCTTTCTTTCTTTCCTTTTCCTTCCCTTTTTTTCCGCTTCTCTCTTTTCCTTACCTTTTCTTTCCCTTTCGTCGACAATGCAAACGAACAGACGTGGCAAGGCCGTTTCACTATCTGCACTCCCCATTCCCTTGGTTTCCTTCGCTTTCTATCCCTTCGCTCACCCCCCTTCTCGTCCCTTGCTTACTTTCCCCGCACGTCTTGCAGCCACCTCCACCATCACCATCGCCCCCGATTGGAATGGACAGACGTGGCGCGGCTGGGGCACTTCGCTGGCATGGTGAGTCGCCTACCTGGCATGGAGCCATGGCTCATGGCTCATGTGTCTTGTCTCATAACCCATGTCGCATGTCGCATGTCGCATGTCTCACGTCCCATGTCTCAGGTCCCATGTCCCATGCCCCATGTCTCATGCCCCATGTCCCATGCCTCATGTCCCAATCACGTTGGCATACAGTTTGGCTCTCAGCATGGACCTGCTGTCTTATGCGCCATGCCGCATGCTCCCCTGCTCCCTCTCCCACCTCCCATGCCTCAACACCCCTTACCCCTTGCTTAATGCCTTTTGCCCATTGCCCCATGTCCGCTTCCCAGGTTCGGCAACTACGTGGGCAAGCTGCCAGACGATCAATTCAATCTCGTGATGGACTTGCTGTTTGACAAGGACAAGGGCATCGGGCTCAACCTCGCGCGCTACCTCATAGGCGGCAGCGTCAACTACACCAACAGCCCCCAGTTCCTCACTGCCGCCTGGGAGACCCGCTCACTGCCCGGCTTCCGCGTCCAGCCAAACGGGCCGTATGACTGGACGGCGGACGGGCGGCAGAGGCGGACGATGCTCGCCGCCCTCGCGCGGAGTGTAGACGAAGTGGAGGCAACTCGTACTCGCCGCCCTGGTGGATGACGGTCAGCGGGGACACGGCCGGGGCGGAACAGAACAAGTGCAACTTAAAGCCTGAGTATTTCCAGGCTTACACGGAGTACCAGGCTTCGGTGATCGAGCGCTATCACAGGTATTGGAACGTGACTTTCTCCACCATGAACCCGGCGAATGAGGCGCTGGAGGGGTGGTGGGTGCAGGGACACAGGAACGAGGGGTGCAACTTCAATCCGCAGGAACTGACCACTCTTATTCGGCTTCTCACAGCCACCCTTCGGAAACGCAAGCTCCCGACGAAAGTCGCCGGGTTTGACAGTTTCGTCGGCGCCACGCTCCGATACACGTACAAGTTCCCTGCTGCAGTGAAGGCCGGCCTTTTTCGGCTGAATGTGCACGGGTACATCCCACCGCCGCCCAACACGACGGATACGCGGCGGTACATGGAAGGGGTGATGGTGGGTATGCACCGCATGGCGACCGGGCTTGGGAAGGAGGTTTGGATGTCGGAGGTCGGGCCGATGTGGGTGAGCGGGAATGATGTGGGTGTGATGCTGTTCACAGCGCGGCAGATAGTACAGGCTGTCAACATCATGGGGGCCTCGGCTTGGATTTTCTGGCAGGCTGTGAGTGGGGTGGCTACTAATCCAGACGCGTTCCTGAAATGGGGGCTTCTGGCGGTCAGGATCTACCGGCTGAACGACACGGAAATCAAGCCGTTGGATCTGGTGATTTCCAAGAAGCTCTACATGCTGCAGCAGTTTGTGCGGGGGGCGCCGAGGGAGCCTGCCTCTTCAAATCGACACGTCGGACGGGTGCCAGCACTGCATTGCCGCCTTCTTCCATCCCGACCAGCACTTCGTGTCGATTTTCATCGTCAACCAGCGCGACACAACGCACACGGCGACGTTTCAGTTGGAGGATTTTGTGCCGTTTGACGCGGGGCAGGAGTGTGTGGTGGAAACGTTCCGCACGTCGGCCACGGAGAACAACACGCTGGTGGCCACTCAAAGTTTCACGGATGTTCCCGCATCGATACAAGTGGCAGCGCTGGGCAGCTCCATGACTTCTGTGGTGCTGTGGAATGTGGACTCCGCATAGGAATGATGGTAGGTAGATGTGGACCCCACTGCTGAATCCCCTGAATCCCCTGTTGTTTTGAGCTGATTGCACCGATGGTGGTGATGGCATGGCAGTGTTTGAAGTGTCGAGGGAGCAGTGCTGCTCCTTTATCTTGGCGGTACCACGGTACAAACTAGTGGCTACGCTGGGCTAAGCAGACCCTGCGTAGCATAATGATGTCTGCAGGAATAGGTGGATTGCATCTGCTGCGCTGCATAGTATGGTATGCAGTACTACTGGTGATTGCAGCATTAGTTTGGATGGTGTCAGTTTGGGCAATCAGGGGACTGATCCATCGTTTTGATACAAGTGGCTGCTGCAGATTGCAGCTCCTACGTGCAGAGAGCTGCAGAGGGTTGCAGAGAGGTGCTCCTGCATGCAGCCTGCAGCTCCATGGCATCCATTGTGCTGTGCTATGTGCACCCCAACTGCATAGAACTATGGTAGCAGTTGCAGGTATATATTCACAGAAGCAGAACCTTAACAACTTGACCTAGAGTGTACATTAATAAGTTATGTTGCCATGCCACATCTGATCTCACACCACCATTGCAGAAGCTGCCTCCACGCCTGCCCTCAAATCCGAGCCTGCACCCAAAGCACCCACATAGTAACCCGAAGCTGCTTCCAAGGCTGTCTCCGAACCTGCCACGCTGGTGTGGCAATGCCGGAGGATCCAGGGATGGGAGAGAATCTGCGCGGCAGTGGGGCGTCGCTGGGGGTCCCTTTGCAACAGGCACAACACGAGACGCTTAGCTTCCTCCGACACTCCAGCCCACTCGTCGCCACTAAAATCCACTACGCCTTTAAGCACCTCCACAAACACGTCCTTATCCGTGGGGCCCCAGAAAGGCGGCGCGCCGCAGAGCAAGATGTAAAGTATCACGCCCAGAGACCAGACCTCGGCTTCTAACGCGTATTCGCCGAGGAGCACCTCAGGCGCCATGTAGAACGGAGATCCCGCGACGCCCCTCGCGCGATCGCCTGATTGGAGGGGAACTGCGAGGCCGAAATCCGCGAGTTTTGTGGTTAGTGGTGCGGCGGGGAGCGGTGCGGAGGGGTCGCACGTGAGAAGGATGTTTTCGGGCTTGAGATCGCGGTGGAGGACGCCTCGCGCGTGGCAGTGTGCGACGGCCGATGCGACCTGCGCGAACACGTTTACAGCGTCGCGTTCGCTCAGTCGCCCGCGTCGCACGACTTCGTCGAAAAGCTCGCCGCCTTCGCACAGATCCATGACCAAATGGACCGATTGCTCGTCCTCGAAAACTCCGCGCAACTGCACCACCCCGGGATGCGCCACCCACTGCGCCTCCCCCGCCTCCCCCGCTCCGCTTCCGCCAAGCCGCTGCATCAGCGCAACTTCCCGCCGCACCTCCTCCCGCTCCGCCTCGCTCCTAAGCCTATCCTTGGAGATCGTCTTGCATGCGAAGCTCGCGCCTGTGAGCCGCTCGGTACAGCGTCGCACGGTCCCGAATTGACCAGATCCTAAGACGTGAGAGTCTAACGAGAAGAACGATTCTAGGCGGCCTGTTTGGAATGGAAGAACTTGACTATGCGACGACGGCGACAATGGGGCCGTTGGCGACGAGCAGCGATCCTGGGCTTGGTCGACCCATCGCAGCTGCGATTCAGGCTGCGACGAGACATCGTGCTGATGTTGCTGCTTCCTCTGCAAGCTTACGGTACGCGACTTGCGAGTGTCTCGCACGCTGCTGCGATCTGTTGATGCTTGCAGAGAGAAGTGGGCCATTACAACTCAACGTTTCTGAAAAAGCACTTAGAAAGCTTGAAGGAAGAGTGGGTGCCAATAGCGACTACGGCGACCGATACTTTAAGATGCCGCAGACGAGTTAGTGCTGGGAGTTCGAGCAGCGAGTGCTATGAAACAACCAGATGCAGAAGGACTTGTTTCCGAATTCTGTATTGAGTACCTGGGATGGCTGACTATGCTGCATATTTATGGAATGGCACAACATCTTGAAGACATGCGTGAGCGTGACGGCGAGATTTTTCTCGGCCTTTCCAGAACGAGCCGCTCCGAGACTCTCCAAGTCGCGACTCGCGACCCTTCTGGTCTGGTTGCTTCTGGCTCACGCTCGCGCCTTCCATTTTCTCTGTTCGACAGTGCGAGGCCAGTCGCCGTAGTTGGACGAATCGCAGCCCGGCGTTACTACCAAAATGCGATTCGTTCTGTCTCGTTTGAGCCCACAGCTGTCGCCTGGTCATTATCGTCGAGGCTGTCGGTGTCGTCGGAAGCAACGAAGGAAGGTCAGCGAAAGGTGCACAGAGCCTTCGTGCGAGGTTGTTTTTCAGTTCTGTGACGCATGTCAGTTGCTCGGCGAGAGTGGCATGGCGATATTTTTTGTTCCAATGTGGCGTGGCAACGCGCTCTGATTGGTCTCGTTCCGCCCACCTCAACTTTCTTGCGTCATCTCGGCCGACACGGCAAGGCAGACGTCAATTCCCATACTGTCGCAGAAAGCTGATGGAGGCTTCCATGCGAAACACTTTCGCAGATGATTCCGTCGTCAAGTCTGTACTCGTGTTACAATATCTGTGCTGAGCTGGTGGACAAGTGAAAGGGAAACACATTTTCGAGGCCTTTCGCCATAAGTTGATCATCGAGTGTAACCTGACGGAAACCCCAGAATAAGTGCTTCCGCTTTCCCCAGACCCCAGCAGGGGCGTTGACATCACCTTCATTGCAGGAAAACCTGTCAACTTTAAAACGCCGTCGTGAACTCAATTCTTGATGAAAAAAAAATCGTTGAGCTATCTCTGGATAGAGCTCTGAGTGACGAATCCGTAGCACCAAAGAACGCCAAGATTGGCCAAGAAATGAGAACGGTAACTTCAATAATATGGGGCTGGGTACATAGAAACAGATAGGATGCAATTCTAATTGACGAGTGAGTTTTTATACTCAACAAGAAAGAACTCACAATTACTAACTAGTCGAAGCGCATTTGTAACCAAGTCGCGCGCGCTTCGTAACCACCAAATTTACATTTGACGGTGAAATTTCGGAAACCAAGTTCCGACACATTTCCGTCTTACTCTTCCGTCAAGCACACAAGTTGTAAAGGCAATGGGTCGGACCAATCAAACCACGCCATGTGTTCGTGCTTTTGTTTGGTTCATTCCGCCCACTTGCAAACACCCCTCGCCACTTTTGTTTCTTGCCACCACCCAAGTGTGATCCTTGACTTGAGTGCACCGTCACCCTCCGCTCAATCTCTCGCCACCTCAACCCAACATGACTAAGTTGGAAGGGTGTGAAGTGGGGACGACATGATCCCAACCGACCCCCAACACTCCCCCTTGGTTCCCACGAGCACCTATGCATACAAGCCTACCCTAGCACAACATGCATGGAAGGTATCTCTAGGCAAGGGCTTAGTGAGGAAGTTTGCAGATTGAGCGTTGGTCTTCACATAGCGTAGCTCCACCTCCTTGTCTTCGACGAGCTTGCGGATGTAGTGGTGACGGATTTGGATGTGTTTGGTCCTTCCGTGAAGGACCGCGTTCTTGGCGAGGTTGATCGCCGCTTGATTGTCCACATAGATCGGTGTGGGTCCCTCTTGCGCATGGCCTAGCTCGGCTAGAAGGCGCCTCAACCACACGGCTTCGGTACCACCACGATTGAGAGCCACATACTCGGCCTCAGTTGAGCTGAGGGCAATCAAGTTTTGCCGCTTGCTTTGCCAAGCCACCGCTCCCCCAGTTGAGCCCGAGGGGCTTTGCCGAGTGGAAGGATCCCCCGCCCAATCGGAATCCGTGAACCCTATGAGAATCACCAGGCCGGCTTCATAATGGAGCCCTAGGTGACTAGTGCCCCTAACATAGCGAAGAAGACGCCGCAAGGCACGCTCATGCTCTACCATGGGGTTGGAGACTACTCTTCCAAGTAGCCCAACCGTGAATGAGAGATCAGGACGGGTGCTCACGGCGGCATACATGCATGAACCTACTATGGAATGGAAGCGCTTAGTCTTCTCGGGGTCCATAGGGGTTTCTTCGCTTGTAGCCAAAGGGTGGAACCCCACCTCAATGGGTGTGGGCGCCGGCTTGCTCTCGCTCATCCCAAAGCGCCCCACCACGTCCTCCAAGTACTTGTGTTGGTGAAGGTGAAGAGTCTTGTGCGCACGGTCGCGGTCGATGTGTATGCCGAGGTAGAATGACACGTCACCAAGGTCGCGCATGGAGAACTCCGATGCAAGCTTCACCTTGATCTCCGCCACAAGGTCCTTGCAATCGGAAACAAGGAGAAGATCGTCCACGTAGAGAAGTAGGACGAGCTTCTTCTCCCCTCGGTTGAGGATGTAGAGGGCATGATCACACTCGCTCCGAGTGAAGCCCAACTCGAGCAAGTACTTGTCCATCCTCATGTACCACGCTCTAGGGCTTTGCTTTAAGCCATAGATGGTACGCTTCAACTTGCACACACGGTCCGTGCCATCCTCGAACCCCGGAGGTTGCCGCATATACACCTCCTCCTCTAGGTGGATATAAAAATGCGGTTTTTACATCAAGTTGTTCTACCTCTAGGTCAAGCCCTCCCGCTAAAGCTAAGAGAACACAAAGGGTAGAAGACTTTGCTACCGGAGCAAAGGTCTCGGTGTAGTGAATCCCGGCCTTTTGCGTGTACCCTTGAGCCACCAAACGAGCCTTTAACGCTCCACCTCGCCGTTGGGTCCGAGCTTCTTCTTGAAGACCCATCGGGAGCCAACGGTGTAGTTATTTGGGGGCAAGGGGACAAGATCATACACGTCATTTTCCATGATAGACTCGTACTCCTCATTGAGTGCTTGAGTCTTATTGCCGGCTTCGAGCGTCTCCATTGCCTCACGATAGGTGGTTGGGGTGAAGTCGGCCATGAAGCATATGGCATCTCCCCCTTCCTCATCATCCTCCACCACAAATGAGTAGTCGGAGTACTTTGAGTTTGGGTGAGGAGCTCATCGAGTGCGAGTAGATGCAAGTGTTGGAGCAACGGCGGTAGAAGGACCACCATCCTTCTCACTCTCCTCTCCAACCACTTCAACAACATCTCCCTCCTCATCTTGAACACTCCTCTCCGCGGGAACGTCTTGAGGAGGTGACTCGTTCGTGTCCTCAACCGTTGGAGGGATGACCACGATCGAATGCTTCTCATTTGGTGGAGTTGGGAAGCGGTTTTCGAAGAACGAGACGTCACGCGACACCACCACCTTTCCACTCTCCAAATCCCACACCCGCCATCCCTTGTGATCAAGGCTATGGCTCAAGTACATCCCCACACGCGCCTTGGCCTCGAGCTTGGTGCGTGTAGCATCGGTGACGTGATAGTAGCAAATACACCCAAACGTGCGAAGGTTGGAGACGTCCGGTTTCTCGCCGCTCCAAGCCTCAAGGGGAGTCACGTTCGGCAAGGGCTTGGTCAATGTTCGATTGTGAATCCAAATCGCCAACATTGTCGCCTCACCCCACCAAGCCTTGTCCGCTTGAGCATGGGCAAGCATGCTCCTAACCGCTTCAACCAACGTGCGGTTCAAGCGCTCCGCCGCTCCATTTTGTTGAGGTGAGTGAGGAACCGAAACTTTGTGGAAGGTTCCCCGCGCCTTGAGCCATCCATCGAGCTCCTTGTTCATGTACTCTCCTCCTCCATCCGACCGAATCCGCTTCACGAGTTGTCCGTTTTTCTCCGTCTCAACAAGCGCCACCCACTTCTTAATTGTCGTAGTAGTCGCGCTCTTGTCTTTGAGAAGGTAGACCCGCACCATTCGTGTAGCGTCGTCGAGGAAGGTGAGAATGTAGCGTGCTCCCCCTTTGGAGGTAGGGGTGATAGGTCCACACAAGTCAGTGTGGACAAGATCGAGCGGGTTGGAGGCGAGCGGCTTCGCGCAAGTTGGAAATGGCTTCCTTGCCATCTTCCCTTCAAGACATGCCGAGCATTTCTCCACCTCCTCGTTCGTGGACAAGTCCGCGACGATCCTGTGCACCACGCCTTGGGTTGCCATGTTGCGGATGGTTGACACACTCAAGTGCCCATAGCGGTTGTACCAAATCTCCAAGGAAGGCTTCGCCACCGCCGCGTTCGCCGACGCAAGGTTCGGTGTAGCCACGAGCTTGAAGAGACCGCCGTCTTGATGCGCCTTACCAATGAAGCGCCCGGAAGACGTGATCAACGTCATGACCGCGCCTTTGATGTTGACGTGCACGCCCTTGGTGGTGAGTTGCGACACGGAAAGTAAGTTGGCCCCGAGTCCCGGGACAACCAACACGTTGTTGATCGTCATTGGACCGCCGTCCACCGCCAGGCGCAACGTTCCGCGTCCATTCACCTCAAGCGAGTCTTGAATCCTGAAGACCACGCGCTTGATAGGAGCATCCGCCGAGACATCTTCAAGGAGGCGCGCCGCTCCTCTTGAGTTGGAGTCGTTGGAGTCCAATTCTTCGGCTTGCTCCGACACTCGCGCCACCAATGCCCAATCTTCTTGCAATACCGGCATGCGCCTTCACGAGCGTGGTTGTTGATGGCGTTTCCTCCACGTGGCGCGTTTGACGTGCTCGCGCCTCCACTCGTGTGCCCACGGTCATTCCGTGGCTTGAAGTTGACGACACCCTTCTTCGCGCCACGAGTGAAGTGAGACGAACTCGTTGCGTCGCCTTGCAAGATGTTCCGCCGCATCTCCTCGTTGATGAGGCGCGTCGTCACCTCCTCCTTGGTCCACATCGCTTGCGTGCCTTCAAGGGTGGTGATGACGGCTGACCATTCCTCTCCGAGCCCCCCGAGAACGGTCATGATCCAATCTTTCTCGTCCACATTCGCTTCGAGCTCCACCATTCGTTCGCCAAGTTCCTCAACACGATTGATGTACGCCCGCATGTGCTCGCCCTCCTTGATGTGCACGGTGAAGAAGTTCTGTGAAAGTTTAGAACGAGAATGATTGCATTGAGCAGCATGAGGAGTACAAGTACCAAACCCTAGAATGTTGTACCCCATATGAGCTACCCCACTACAGCCTACACAGACTATAGTGCATAAGTTTGACACACCCCCATAGGCAAAGTGGGGGAGAACAAGGGGTCACAAGACCAGTCAAGCAAAGCAAGGCAAAGCAAGCTCAGGGTGGATCACAACGTCACCACACAGTCTGAGCACAAGTTCAAGGCCACAAGGCCAGTTCACATGCAGGGTTACATATATATAACACTAAACAAGCAAGGGCAGGCATATATATGTAACAGTACAAGCAAGGTCAAGAAGTAAGCAAGTGAGGCAAGGTAGGCACGAGACCTAACAGAGTACAGAAGCGCTGATGATCACAAGGCGCGAGTGCCTTAGTGAAGATATCAGCAGTGTTGGCCTCAGAGGCCACGTAAGCAAGGCGCAGCTGACCACGCTGCTGCAGCTCACGAGCAAGGAAGTAGCGGAGAGCGATGTGCTTCATTCTGTGCTCCAGTCTGTGCTCCCGACACAAGGCCAGCATGGCCTTGTTGTCTACGTACAGCACTGGAGGAGAACGAGGCGGCTCTCCCAGGTCGGTCAGCAGGTAGGTGAGCCAGCGTAACTCCTGTACAGCCATGGCTCCTGCGTAGATCTCAGCCTCACAACTGGAGCCGAGAACAGAAGACGAGCGGGTAGACCGCCACGAAACAGAGCCGGAACCAAGGCTGAAGGTGTAACCCTGTGACGACCGCTGTGTAGCCTGGTCGTCAGCCCAAGAAGCGTCTGCGTGACCAGTGAGGACCACTGGACTCTGCCCTCCAAGCACAAGCCCCATGCCCGACGTACTGCACAAGTAGCGCAACACCCTCTTCGCTGCAGCCATGTGCTCTGGTCTGTGTCTCCCAGGAGCAACATAGCGTGCCAGAATGCTAAGAGGGTATGCAAGGTCAGGTCGAGTGCAGGTCATCAGGTACATGAGGCAGCCGACAAGCTCTGGGTACGGGCCACTCGACTCTACGGACTCATCCGAAGGCAGAGCTGAGAGCGAGTGGCGTGTAGGCAGAGGAGTGGCCTGAGGCGAGGAGTACGTGAAGCCGAAGCGCTGAAGGACGTGCTGCACCATGTGTGACTGAGTCAGGGTAATGGTGCGCTGTGCTCTGTCCCGGGTGATCTGCAAGCCAAGGTAGCTGCGCAGCTCACCCAGGTCTGTACACGTGTGTCTCTTCTGCAGCTCGGACTTCACGTAGGCAAGTCCAGCAGTGTCAGCTGTAGCAAAGACCAAGTCGTCAACGTACACGAGGATGTAGAACGGCGGCAAAGAAGTGTCGGTGCGCAGAAACAGCGACGGGTCGGCAGTAGAAGGAGCAAACCCAAGAGCCGCAAGTGTCGTCCTCAGTGTGTCGTGCCACTCACGAGGCGCCTGGCGGAGACCATAGACTGGCCGCCGGAGGCTCCACTGGGTGCCAGGAGGAACTGACCCAGTGAAGCCAGGTGGGCGGCGCAGCCAGATCTCCTCGTGCAGGCTGCCCTGCAAGAAAGCAGTGCTGAAGTCAAGAGAGTGCAGCTCGTAGTCTCGGTGAGCGGCTATGTGCAGCAGTACCCGAAGAGTGGTCATCTTCGGGGTGGGAGAGAAGGTCTGAAAGTAGTCAACTCCCTGCCGCTGACTGAAGCCACGAGCCACGTAACGCGCCTTGAAGACAGGCGGAGAACCCGGCGGCCGCTTCACCCTGAAAATCCACATGCCACTGACAATGTTCGCCCCAGGCGGGGGAACCTCGTCAACGTAGGTGCCTGTGGACTTCCAGGAAGCCATCTCTGCGTCCATGGCTGCCTGCCACTGAGAGGAGTAGGGACCCTCTATCGCCTCCGCGTAAGAGCGCGGAGTCGGGATGTCAAGTGCATCCGGGTCTCCCTCAGGGGCAAGCAGCATGGACACGAGATGAGGTGAAGCAGCAGCCAAGCACTGGAACTCCTCCTGCCTGTCCTCAAGGACGTCCGTACCAAGAGCACACTCACCCCCGACGGACGGAGGACAGACAGACTCAGACTCAGCGACGAGACTGGTAGCGTAGTCTAGGCGACAGCGAGCAGCGAAGTCGACAAGCTCAGCAACTAGGGCAGACGCAGCAGTAGACTCAAAGGAAGGGTCAGTGACGACAGTAGCAAGGAGACGCGTGACAGTAGGACGCGCAGCACGAAGGGAGTCCGACTCCGGGTCAGGAAGGTCAGGAAGAGAGGACGCTGGAGGAGAAGGCAAAGGGGCACGCAGCGGAGCAGTGGAAGGACGCAGAGACATCCGGTGCGTGCCGGGGACAGGGGGAGGACGCTGGCGCGAACCACGACCACTAGTGCGAGCAGCACGGACAGGCGACGCAGGGCGAGACGCAGGCTCACGACGCTCAGCAAGACCTCCAGTAGGACCAGTGTAGGGAGAGGGAGAAGGAAGCGGGGAGGCCGGCGGTAACTGCGACTCGGACTGGACAGGAGGCGGACACGCTAAGGGAGGAGCAGGACCAAGAGAGGACGGAAGACCAAGAACCTGCTCAAGGAGCGGAACGAAGTACGGCCGCGGCCGCGCAGCTCCACCAGTGCCAGCAGGAACAGCACCAGCACCCCCAACGGGAGCACCAGCACCAGGAGGACCCCCAGCTCCAGCAGCTCCAACTCCAGCACCCTCAGCAGTCCCAGCGCCAGCAGCACCTCCAGCGCCAACACCCCCAGTAGCCCCAGCTCCAGTCGGACCACCCGAAGACGCAGCAGCTCCAACTCCAGGAGCACCAGCAGCACCAACGCCAGTAGCACCAGTAGCACCACCAGCTCCAGCAGGAGGAGCACCCGTAGGCCCAGCAGCTCCAGTACACTCGGTACGAGCACCTCTGGGACCCTCGGCACCAGCACCCTCAGCAGCAGCAGAACCTCCAGCGTCCGCAGCACCACCAGCTCCAGCAGCACGTCGCCAGCGCCGGGCGAACCACTCACGCAGCTCCTGTGGAGAGAGCAGCTCCCGCCGGGACGAAGCACCCGAAGCACCGCCAGGCTCAGCACCACCAGACGCCACACGAGCAGGTCCAGCACCCTCAGGCTCCGCACTCCGAGACACAGCACCCCCAGGCTCAGCACCCCCAGGCGCAGCACCCCCAGGCTCAGCACCCTCAGGCTCAGCACCCCCAGGCTCAACACCCCCAGGCTCCGCAGTACCCTCAAGCTCAGCTCCCCCAGTCGCAGCACCCCCAGACCCAGCACCCCCAGGCTCAGCACCACCAGCAGCACCAGAGTCAACAGCTACCTCGACAGGCTCAACTGCATCGACCTGGGACACACCTGAGGGGGCAGGACCCTGAGGGGGGAGGGGGTCTACCGGAGGGGGACCTGGCGTAAGGAAGAGCGGCGGGGGAGGGAGGGACGCAGTGCGGTAGGGGAAGAGACGGTAGTAGGGAACCGACTCGTCAAAGGTGACGTCCTGGGACGCGAAGACACGGCGCGAGGTGGGGTGGTAGAACTGCCAGCCTGGCGCGTCAGGGGGAAAGCCAAGGAAGACGCAGGGAACAGCACGAGAGGACAGCTTGTCCGCAGACAAGTCGCGGACAAACGCCCTAGATCCCCAGACACGGAACGCAGACGCATCGCCAGCCTTCCCCGTCCACAGCAAAGCAGGGGAGGTCTCCGGCTGGGAGACCCGGGGGTGAAGGTTGAGCTGATGCGCCGCGTACCGAACCGCAAACGGCCACAGAAAATGGGGAGCAGCCGCATGGATCATGGACGTACGAGCGACGTCCATGATCATGCCAATGCGGCGCTCAGCAATCCCATTTTTCTGTGGAGAGTCTGGAAGCGTGAAGGTCTGGCGGATGCCTCGTGCACGACAGAAGGCCCGCAGAAGGTCAGAGGAGAACTCTCCGCCTCTGTCGGAGTGCAGACGCAGAACAGGAAAGTCCGAGCCGAAACTCTCCCGGAGCTGGAGACGAGCTGCGCGGATCCAGGCGATCAACACCTCAGTGACGTCACCCTTGCTGCGCAAGGGGAAGACTGTGGTGTAACGCGAGTAGTCGTCAACCACCAGCAGGAAGTAACGCTCGTGACCCTGCCCACGGACGCGGGCTAGGCCCCACACGTCCATGTGAAGCGTCTGCAGCGGAGCCTCTGTCGGAGGAAACTCGGAGGAGTGAGGGGCAGCGCGCTGCCGCCCCTCGACGCAGGGAACGCAGGTGGGGGCAGGCCTCGGGGGAAGGGGAGGGAGGGACCGGGGGAGGCCAGAGACAAGAAGACGGGAAGCCATGCCTCGAAGACGAGGCAGGGAGGGGTGACCAAGGCGGTGGTGCCAAAGGAGAGTCCGGTGCGACAGGAGACGACACGAACAGGGAGCAGACTCAGGACCAGACCTGGATGCCGCAGCAAACACCTGACCCGACGCAGCTACCTGAGCGGACGCAGTGACTGGAGGAGACGCAGTAGTCAGTGTGTACAGGCTCGACCCCGGCCGACGGGCAAACGTGGCCAAGTGTCGGCCCGTGTCCGCACACGTGCAGTGGGTCACCCGCTGACGCGCAGGGGTGAACTGGTCAACCCCTGCATCCTGGAGGTCAGCACCCGCCACCAAGTTCGTAGAGAACGAGGGGAGGTAAAGACCCGACAGGGAGCCAGACGGGACCGCCGGACACGGTAGGACAGTGGAGTAGTGGGCAAGGACGGGACCCCCAGAGGGGTCTGCCAGGGAGACTGCAACAGGCCGACTGAGCGGCGTGAGAGTGGTGCAGTCTCGAAAGAAGGAGCGGGAAGCACCCAAGTCAAGGGTGAACGTGTGGGTGTCCAGTGACGACGCAGTACCTGAGAGCGCAGACTCACCGGCACCTGGGGCGGCAGACGCACTGGCACCTAGAGCAGCAGCCTCACAAGTACCTAGCGCAGCAGCCTCTATGCCTGGGTCAGGCGGAAAACAC